GGACCGGGGGCGGCGGGCGGACCGGGGGCTGCGGCGGCCCGGGGGCTGCGGCGGCGGCGCGCAGTGGTGCCTTCGTGCTGCCCTCGGGTGCCACGCTCGATCGAGGGCCTCGGAGAGTTTGTGGTTGAAGCCTCTGCCGAGTTTGCCGGGGCGCCTGAGCTGCCGCGGACCGAGCCGCTCGGCGCGCGACGCTCAAGCGCTGCGAGGCGGTCGCGCAGCGAACGCGCAGCGAGCCACTCGCAGCGACGACTGCACACCGGCAGCAGAGGCGTAATCAGTCCTGACGCGTCTTTGCCCGTTGACCACACGAAAAAAAAATCGAACGAATTCAACGGATCAATTCTCAGAAGACCAGCCGGCCGCATTGCTTGTTGATCTCGGAGTCCCCCTCGTCGTCGAAGACCATGGGAACCGTGCGCGCCGTCGTCCTCGCGCTGTCGTGCGCGACGACGCGCGCGCTGCTGCCGCAAGCGTCCTTCGCGCGCGCGCGGCGCGCGTCGCTTCTCAAATCGCGGAGCAACGACAACGGTCGGCCCGAGCGCGACGAGGTGCCCATCCACGGCAGCGCGAACCCGGCGGCCCCCCTGCCCGTGGAGATCCAGCTGCGCATCGCCAAGGAGCGCTGCCGCAAGGCCGAGGACGAGTCGCAGAGGACCGTCGCGGAGCTCGAACTGTCGAAGCTCGAGCTCGCGCACCCCGAGCTCGCGCTCATGCAGGTGGCCAGCGAGCGCGCCCGGACGGAGGAGGGCTTCGAGTCCTGGCGCTGGGGCAAGCTCGCCGAGGAGGTGCAGCGCGTGTCGTCCGCGCTCAAGATCGCCGCGGCGCCGCTCGACGCCGCGCCGCCGTCCGACGCGCGCGCGGGCGGCCTCGTCGACGGCCCGTCCTCGAAGGCCGCCGCCGAGGCCGTCTGGAAGAGCCGGTCGCGCGCCCTGAGCGAGCTCCAGTACTGGGCGCTCCGGGGCAACCGGCGCGCCGAGGCCGGCCTGCTCGTGGCGGTGTCGCAGCACGCGGGCAACTGGATCGGCGAGGCCGCGGACCAATTGTTGCGCCAGGCCTGGGGCGTCCACGCCGACGCGTCCGTCAACGCCATGATGCAGAGCGCCTGCGACGCGCTCAAGCAGAAGGACGCGGAGCGCGCGCTCGAGGGCTTCGCGGCCGCGGCGGGCCGGAGCAGCGACATCGACGAGGGCAAGGGCTTCGCGGACGCGCACCGCTGGATCGGCATCACGCTCGACAAGGCCCTGGGCGACGACCGCAACGCCCAGGCCGCCTTCGAGGAGGCGCTCGACGCGTCGCCGCACAACTACGTCGTCATGATGGACCTCGGCAAGCTGCTCCTCAAGCGCGTGGCGCGCGAGAAGGCGGCGGCGGCGGCCCCGGACGCGGACGTGCAGACCCTCGCCGCCTGGATCGGCGACGCGGGCGCGGCGGAGGAGAAGCTCGAGAAGCAGGCGCGGCTCTACTTCAAGCGGGCGAAGAAGCGGGAGAGGCAGCTGGAGGAGCGGGAGGAGCAGGCGCGGCTCTACTTCGAGCGGGCGACGTCGCTGAACCCGGCGCTCGCGACGGACGTCCAGGCCGTCCTCGTGCCCGCCCAGTGAGGCGGCCCATCCATGCCCCGCGAACCTCGACCGCCCCCTCCCCCATCCTCACGAGCCGCCCCCTCCCAAGGTGCCCTGGCGCCAAAGACAAGCGTAAAAGTACGTATTTAGCGCCGTGCTTAAAACGTGAGACATGCCCGTTGCTGTGGTTCAACAAGACTTCAACGCTGATGAGGCTGATGTTGACGTCATTTTTGAAAAAACACCTTCGAAATTGTGGAGGCGAACATTGGAACAAACAGCAGCGCGCGTGAAAAACAGCAGGCTTGGCCACTACTTTCGCGAGCCACAAAACGATGCGTGTCTACACCCTCCTCGCGGTGTCGTGCACCACATCTCGCGCGCTGCTGCCGCCGTCGTCCTTCGCGCCCGCGCGGCGCGCGTCCCTGCTCAAATCGCAAAACGACGACGGTTCTCGCCCCGAAAAGCGCGAGGAGGTGCCGATCCAGAGCAGCGTGAACCCGGCGGGTCCCCTGCCCGTGGAGATCCAGCTGCGCATCGCCAAGGAGCGCTACCGCACGGCCGCCGACGGGTCGAAGAAGAACGACGCGGAGCTCGAACTGTCGAAGCTCGAGCTCGCGCACCCCGAGCTCGCGCTCATGCAGGTGGCCAGCGAGCGCGCCCGGACGGAGAAGGGCTTCGAGTCCTGGCGCTGGGGGAAGATGGCCGAGGAGGTGCAGCGCGTGTCGTCCGCGCTCAAGATCGCGGCCGTGCCGCTCGACGCGACTTTACCGTCCGACGCGCACACGGGCGGCCTGTTGCCGCGGACGGCCGACGACGCGAGCTCCAAGGCCGCGAAGCAGGCCGAGGCGCGGAGCCGGTCGCACGCGTTGAGCGAGCTCCAGTACTGGGCGCTCCGGGGCAACCGGCGCGCCGAGGCCGGCCTGCTCCTCGCTGTGTCGCGGCACGCGGGCAACTGGGTCGGCGAGGCCGCGGACCAGCTCCTGCGCCAGGCCTGGGGCGTCCACGCCGACGCGTCCGTCAACGCCATGATGCAGCGCGCCTGCGACGCGCTCAAGAAGAAGGACGCGGAGGGCGCGCTCAAGGGCTTCGCGGCGGCCGCGGGCCGGAGCCGCGACATCGACGAGGGCAAGGGCTTCGCGGACGCGCACCGCTGGATCGGCATCACGCTCGACAAGGCCCTGGGCGACGACGTCAACGCCCAGGCCGCCTTCGAGGAGGCGCTCGACGCGTCGCCGCACAACTACGTCGTCATGATGGACCTCGGCAAGCTGCTCCTCAAGCGCGCGGCGCGCGCCAAGGCCGCGGCGGGCCCGGACAAGGACGCGCGGACCATCGCCGCCTGGCTCGGCGGCGCGCCGTCGCCCGCGGCGGACGCGGCGGAGGAGAAGCTCGAGAAGCGCGCGCGGCTCTACTTCGAGCGGGCGACGTCGCTGAACCCGGCGCTCGCGACGGACGTCCGCGCCGTCCTCGCGCCCGCCGAGTCCTTCGCCGAATGAGGCGGCCCCGTCCCCGCGACCCTCGACCGCCCCCGCAAACAACCCCTGTCCATAGATACACATAAAGCTACACATACCACCTACCGCGCGCGGACGCCGACGATGGCCAGGTTGTCCGGCGTCGTCGCCGCGTCGACGTAGCGCACGAGCGTCGCCTCGAAGCCGCGGTCCCGGAGGTAGCGGAGCCGGCCCTCCTCGAGGAGGCGCCGCGCCTTGAGGCCCAGGTCCCGGCACCGGTCGAAGCCGAGGATCGTCGTCATGACGCGCTTCCGGTGCTCCCAGGCCTGGGGGTTGTCGCTCTTGGAGAACTGGACGAGCCAGAGGAGCGTGCGGAAGTCGTTGTCGCGCGCGCCGCCGCGGAGGCCGACGTGCTCCCGGCAGAAGCCGGATGCCTCCAAAAAGGCCACGTTCGCGTAGTCGCGCTTCTTCGCCTTCTGGTGGCAGCAGGGGGCGAGCACGCAGGCGTCGACGTTTGCCGCGGCGGCGACGCCCGCGAGCGCCGCGTCGGTGGCGGACCCGCAGAGGTGCTTCGAGACGCAGACGACGCCGGACGTTTCGTCGAGGCGCGCGCCGAAGTCGGCGACGTCGCCGACGACGCGCGCGTAGGCCGCGTCGCCGGCGCCCACGTCCGGCGGGTCGTAGAGCGCGTCGCGCGCATCGACCGTGCGCCGGTCGAGCGCGACGACGCGGACCTTCCGCCCGAAGGCCTCGTAGCAGCAGCGGCTCAGCAGCGCCTTGCCGGCGCCGAGGTCGACGACGGTGCGCGGGCCGAGCGCCGCGACGCGGGCGAGGAGCGCGCGCGCCTGGAGCCGGTGGCTTTGTCGGCGCTGGTACGTGTCCGGGCCGCCGGCGACGACCGCGTCGACGACGGCCGCCGGCCAGACGTCGCGCGACGCGTCCGCCGGCGGTGGCAGGCCGGCGACGGCGGCGTCGAGGCGCCGCGCGAAGCCGTAGATCGCGAAGCGCTTGTACTGCCAGCGCACGACGGCCCAGGGGTGGCACCGGATCGCTTTCCAGCGGTCCCGCCGCAGCAGCAGCCACGACGCCGCGCCGGCCGCCGCGGCGAGCGCCGCGTGGGCGAGCGCTCGGCGCGGCTGAGCACCGCCGATGCGCGCGAACGGCGCGTTAGCAATTCGCGGCCAGACGCTAGGGCAAGCGCCGAAGTGCTCTCGCATCACGTCGATCGCAAAAGTCAACATTGTCGATGATGTCGTCATATTGTCGTCAAGCTGCGAAACAGCCCGCAGCGCCTTCCGCCGCCAGTCACGGCTCGCAGCCCCGGCGCAACGGAGCTTCGCCGTCCGCGCGGCTCGCACGGCGCGCGCGATGGTCCGCGCCATGGTGTGCGCCGCGTCGTGTCTGGTCGCGCTGCTGCCGCCGCTCGCCGCCGGCGAGATGAACGCGGGCTGGTCCTGCGACGGCCCTTTGCCGTCGGTGCACGGCCCGTCGAGCGGCGACCTCGTCGCGGGCGAGATCGAGCTCCTGCTCCACAGCACGCCGCTGGACCCGCGCGAGGCCCACGCCGAGGTCCTCGGGTCGACGGTCGAGCTCGAGCTCGTCGCGCCGCCGGGCATCGACGGCCTCGAGGGCTTCCTCATCACCGCGAGCAAGGGCTTCGTCCGCGCGGCGGACCTCAACGGCCAGCGCTCGGACTGCACGCACGGCGGCGTCACCCACGTGCCGACGCCGTCGAAGAAGCGCAAGTACACCGTCGACTTTGGGCTGCCCCACAAGTACGGCGACGTCGACCTCAAAGTCGTCGCGCTCGCCGGCTCGCGCGAGTGGTACGAGTCCACGCTCCACTTCTACGTCGGCGAGGAGGAGGCCGACGCCGCGACCCACAAAAGCCGGCCTCTCGCCAG